GCATGGTAGATTAGTACAAAACTACACAAGTGCCCAAGGCATATAAACTTGTGAATTTGATATTATCAATCTTTCTGGAGTGAAATGTCAAAGTGGGATATATCAGGAGATTTAAATCAAGATACGAGTCTCAATTGAGTCTATGAACAGAGTGGGCTCTATTTCAGTTCATAGATGGATTCAGAAAGGTCATGATGATAAGTAATGATTGTGAACATATTTGAATGGTCAGATCTGATTTACATTTCCAAAAGGTGCAATGAAGGACCCTGTAAGCAATTGTGATGCTCAAATTTATTTTCGCAGAAAACCCTTTATGATTTCCATTGATCTCTTCAGTCTGCCTCTCCTGAGGATAAGTGCTCCGGTGTTTCTGATTCCGAAGTGTTTGGGTCAAGGCTAGCTTACCTGGAGCCAGCTTCCGTCGGTCTAGCTTTGTCATCTGGAAGTCTCTCCAATATTTGGGATTTTAATCCAAGGTGCGGTAAGGATAAGGTAGTCATTGTTGAACAGCCTCAATACTTATGATCTGCGATGTTGGGTAATCTGTGCATTATTCTTTAATATAACATACATATCGACATATTACAAAATTGTTAGGGTAAAGGTTTCAGACTCTGATTATAGGAGGTTTTATATAGTTAAGGCGTGTATCATGAGTATTTATTTAATGTTATGGTGGTGTGACAGAAGCTTTATTAACGGGAAATCGGTACGAGGATAATTGATCGAAGGGATGGTCAGGTGATGAACCTCGATTGGTAGAGATAGAGAGATTTCTATCCAATTCTACTTTCTTTTCTGATTCCATTTCACGTGTGAGGCGTAAGAAAATCCAACCCGACCATAGACCAGCGATGGCGTAAAGTCCTTTAGAAAGGTAAGCTAATTGTTTTAATTCTTTTGCTTTGTCTTGGATGTCCTTGTGCGACGATTGGAAAGCCGGAGCAAATCCTATTACAACCAATACGTAGATCTTCATTCAGATCCCAAGAGGCAAGTTAATGACTTTGATGAGATGACAAAATGCAAGAGGATAGATGGAAATCATACCAAAATGTGTAGAACGACCAAGGAAACGTTTGTGATAGTGCCACTTTTTTTACTTCCGAGATGTACAGACTTGTTGGAGGGGTTATGAATACTTACGATATCACTACTAGAGCGATTTTTGCGCAGAGGTTCGATTTGAAGAATGGTCTTCGATGCCTTTCGATGAGGCGATTCAAGACTAGGTTCTGGCGTGTCGCTGTCTTTTGTGCTTTTCAAATTTTGCAACATTTTGATGAGACTGATCCCAAGTGGTACCAGCAGCTATATAGGATGAAGTAGAGCATTCTTCAGGATAAAGATTTTATTCAACAATGATTTGTTCAGATTCAGACTCACCACAAGCATTAACACCGACCAACCAAGCCGCACCTATAAATTGACTCTCAATCAGTTGCGATTGTGGTTGAATACAATGTTAAAAAGAGAGTTACGTACATAGAAGATCCATTGCACAGCTTTCCAAAAGCTTGCCTAATTTGAACAGGATGAAAAAGGAGTGTTGCATAAGGATAAGTAATTAGTGGGCGTTGGCGATCAAGGTAGGGAATGACTCAAACACTTAGTGATTCGAGTTTGACGGAAGATGTGTACTGCTGAGATCTTGATTCCGCGTCTGGGAACGAAGTGCCTGAAAGCTGGGAAAGCCTGCCCTTCTCCGAAGTCATAGCCAGCTGTTGTGCAACGATCAAACCGAAGGTCCCTATATGTGCTGTGCACACATTGTTGTCGATGAGTCAGTGTCATTCATGTGATTTCAAAAGGGATGGTCATATCTCACTGATAGTAATAAGAATTACGCCTGAAATAAAAAATGCGTTGAAAATCTTCGAGGTCACTTGTATTGATACCATCCTGCCGATGAATCCGCCTTTTTGATAGGCGATGACAAAACAACATGTAGCAATTCCCCAGGAAAGCGTCCTGAAATTATGATGAACATGAGTGTATGATTTGTGGGATCTTACAAACAATAATAATGGACGTACCATCCAGATAACCATAGAGTATACCATACAAAACCAGATATTCGATATCTTTCTGTGACGAGCTGATTGACCAGGTAGTGCGAGTTTAGAATTCATAAGAGGACAGTGCTGATAAATTGATGAAGCAAGTGAATATGCGAACCGTGGGTCCTACAGCGCCCATCACGAGAAAGATAGTGTCAGTGAACTGGATGGTGACAAATATTATGTTCCAGAGCGAAATCAAAAAGCGAGTGTTGGGCAATATCAAGCCACCTACATTTGTAAAAGGAAAGAGACATTAGTGAGTATGTCCAAATATTTATCTCATATGGCTTCGATACCACGTACGTTGATTCCACCTAAAAAGCCAACCAACATCAAGCTGGTAGCAGATGGTCACCCCGCGTCCTAGAAAGCCTAATTGCCTAGCGCGCGATATGAAAATTGACAAATCAATCACGATTACATGGAATATAACGATGGAATAACGAACAAAATGTAGGATAATAGATAGACCGTAAGCATCGGTACTACCCATACATACGACTTTCGAAGATATTAGTGATTTAGATATTATGAAAGGTGATTTGAATATCGAAAAATCAAGACTTACCCTAGATGAGTCGATCTCCGTGAGTCCTGACTCGGGGAGCAATGAGGAAAAGTCAGTAGAATTG